CAAGAGTAGTAAGGACATTTTAGAGTATAAAAATCGAGTCAAATCTTTTTCTTGGGTGATAAATAAGCGCTTTAAAATTTTTTTCCTTAAAAACCAAATTAAATGCTTTTACATTTACAATAACAATCAACAAGGGGGAAAAAAAACAATAGCGACAAAACCTGTAGCTCAATTCTAATCCTCATAATCACAATATTTGGACCCATTAGTATATGTTGACGATTCTTCAAATTCTTAACCGTTACTGGCGGGACAAGTTTTGAAATCTTGATCGGATTCCAAACTAGAGATCATCTTCATGCCAATCTTGCTTCTCTTTAGTGCTACATCCCGTCTTTAATATAAAATCTCATTTGACTTTTATTTTGATCCTAAATATAAAACATCAATCCACTTTGTTTTTTATATTTATATATTTTTTTCCAAAATAATCTTTCTAATAATGTTAGTTCTAGCCAATACACTTGATTAGTAAGGATATTTTAGAAAAAAAAACAACACATTTATTACAAATAACTAACTTAACATATTTGTTTAATCTTCTTCAATTTGTGAACTAACTCTTATAATTAGGATTTGAGGTAGTGTTTATCCAAATTGGCTGAGATATTCCTTTGTATTCTTGCCTCCTCTGCAAGTCTTTTTATCTATAACCCCTTTTCACGGAGCAATCAGCATCCATTAAAATTTCCTGCTCGGATGAGAATATCTTGTTTGCTAAAGCGACGAGGTAACTGGGATAAGAGAAAGATGCACTTACTAGACTGGCCGAATTATTTGCACAGTCCGGATAATTGAGGATTACTGATTCAAAGTACAAGAGATTTTTTTTCCATAACTCTTTCACCTCTTCCTTCTTCTTCCTCTTCTTCTTTTTTTTTGGTTGGCTTGAATTAATGGAAGGTTGAAACCTACTAAATCAATATTTCTCTTGCTATTCATCAAATATAGAAACTGGTCGGGCGACTAATTGAAGGGGCGTTGATTTTTTCTGTCAATTAAAATTAGTGGGTTTACTGAAGATCGCAGGTGGAGTTAAAATGTTATCATAATTAATCTAGAATTTGTTTTGGTCGCTGGAGATAGAGGAGGAAACCGGTCTAACTCGGCCGCCACCATTGAACGAGCAAAGGTCCTTTCTGTTTCTTTTAAGTCCTTTCTTTTAAAAAAACCAACGTTGCGTTTTTCGAAAGTGGGAGATGAAATGGAAAGACTTAGAAGGGAAAAGTATCAATAAGATTCTAAACATCAAAATCTAATTAAATTATTAAATTTTTGTGTATATAAAAATATAATGTATAAATTTACATAGCACATTCTTGACACCAAATAATTATTAATTAATTACAACTAAATCAAATATAGAAAACTTTAAAGGCAAGTACAGATTGTAGTGCTATGAAAATTTCTATACGGGCAACTTCCGATAATTACTTAAAAAAAGTGCTTTCAACAAAGTTCTTCTTACCTATTTATTTCATATACTAAAAAATTACATATTTATTTCGTATACTAGAAAATCACTTGTAAAAAGTTAATTCAAAATATGAAAATCATAGAATCGATTTCGCTTGTATTATTAAGAGGCTAATATCTGCCTTTCTAACGGTAAAAACAAAACAAGAGAAGTAAGTTGAAATAATTAGCCGAACTAGAACATTTCATTTGGAGATCAACTTGATTTGAGACAACTGAATTTCAAACTTTCGACTCATGAAAAATCCAGCCTCATAGTAGGTGAATGATGATTTTTCCAGGAAAGAGCAAGAAGAAACTTGCTTATGCACTACAAATTAATTGTCACTTCAGAAAGGAGGGTTGATTTCAGACATTCTTCGAAAAATCCTTAGATGCACAGAAAACCTGGTAAACTTTGAGGCATAAGAACGCTGCTTCTAAATTATGACCTTGCTTGTGCACTACAAGTTGACAATGGAATGACAAGAACTCAGGACTGCTTTACTTGCCTGCCGATGGAAATGTCATAGGAAAGTTTGACATTCTTCAATATTAGCCTTCGAATTTTTTACTGTTTTACATAAGAATGACCATTATCGCTTACAACATGGTATACCATCGCCATATGCCCACATTTTACAACAAAAAGTCGTTAACCTCGGATCTCATAATTCCTTCACCATAATAACCAGCACCCAACCAACTCGGGACCTTATAACCTTATAATCACTATGCACATTCAACCTGAGTTGAACAACATACAAAATAGCACTGCCGTTGATCTCACTTCACTCAGCGAAATTGCACTTCGGCATTTGTATAGCAATTCTACAAGTTTCAGCACTATTTTTTAGTCTCCACAAACACTTCTTTCAGAAGTGTCAGAAACCACATAGCAAAAGAGAACTGTGAGCTAGTAATGTAAAATATAGGATGCTGCCTGTCAGTGTTTTAGCCTTCGGTTATCTAGGAAACAAAAAGGGGCGTGGTACATCACCGCTGATAATGAAATCAACTCTTGAAAATTTTCAGAGAAGGAATGACTTGATATAAACCAACAGATGAATGAAAACCGGCTCCCTTAATTTTTAGGCCAGCAGTTACCATGCACGAAACTCTCTAAGAGCAGTTGCACTTTAGAGGAGCTCAATCCTGGTTACCTAACATCCTAGTAAAACAATGAGTTTGAATAACTTAATCAAGATCGCATCTTAAGCACTTTTTGGCATGTACAATGGCAGCAGAAGGGGTTAAGCTAAGATCCCAAACATCTGTTCACCTGCAAAGCATACTTCTTCCAACAATGTTTGTCTACGACCTAGTTTCAAAAGGAGAAGAAAGAAGGTCTAGTTACTGGAACTTTACATAACAAGAAAGCTTAGCTTGTATACTGTAGGCACCAAACTACCAGAGCTCTAATAAGGAAAGATTCTGGTCATTCAATAATACTTCAGAGAGCAATCGGTGAGTAGTAGTACGAAGACAAACCCTGTCATCCCTCCCTGCCAATGATATGCTCATGTTTTAAAGTTTAGCATATTGATTCACAGTTCCAAATAGTGGTGTGCTAAACTAGAATGGTAAACAAAGTATTTGTATTATGCTAAAATAGAGTAGTATTTTAAGCAATTAATAGACCAGAAATGACTTCAATTTCTGGTTCCATAAAAAATTGTCCCATTCACAAGTTTTACTTTGCTATCTGGGCCTAATACAATCGTCTTCCTTCCTTTATTCGAGTTTGGAGCTGGCTATGAAATATTGGCAGAGATATAAAACAAATATCATCGGGGACAAAGTATCTTGTAAGTATAAAATCATCGGTGACACGCTGATAGAATTCGAAGCCATACCTAAAATTGCAGTTTCCAGGGAGGAAAAGTCTCTGGCATAATGCAAAAGGGTCTGTTGTAAAGTAGGCTGACCACGCTCAACTAAATAAAGCCGGTTTGAGACCAAATTCTCATATCCATGACAATTCCCTGATCACAAAACTGAAATCGCGCCAGAAGAACAAGAACTCTCCCATACTTCAATACCTTCAACCTCTTCTCTGCTAATAAACAACCTGTTCCCACCACCATCGATCTGCTTAATAATCCCCCTCTCTGAATTCCTCTATTTTGTCCACGAAATTTCTTCTATACAAACCCTCAGCATCTCCACCAGCTATTTCTGCACCATTTTTCATCCCTTCGAGTCTGGACCAAACCTCTAAATCACCCTCTCTCCCGACAAACACCTGCTTCCTGTAACAATGAATCACACTGCTGCTAACTCTCCCGGTGTTCACCAAGCTTGGGTTCTTTTCTTGCAAATAAATCCACGGATCCTCTTTTAAATGCCGCATGTCCGCCATTGCCAAATCCCCGGATTGAGAGCAGAGCTTGAACAAAGCCAAGCCTTCCACGTCGACGTCCACGCACGCAAACGAATCCCCAAACCTACTGCTTCTACCTGCACCCGGCTCATTCGTCTCCCACACCACCTCGCCGGAACGAGGGTCCCACAATCTGATGTAGCCAGAGTATCCAAAAGCCCCGCTCGTAACTGCACTTCCAACAAGCACGCCGGTCTGGGGTACCCACGTCAGCTTCCCAGGAACCGTATGCTTAGCCTGATTACCAGATTGTCTAGCGAGCTGAGACACGATCTGAAGCTTTGTTTTATCTATTTCAAGGACACAATTCTCTCTATGCGGGCAATCAAACGCCGCAAAAATGGAACTCTCTGAGCCAGCTATTGCGTTCACTCGGGCCTTGAAGATACGGGGATCAGAAGGATCAGTCCACTGAACCGTCCCGATGTTGCGCCCATCGGAGAAATCGTAGAAGTGCAGTCCCGCGTTGGATTCTGACCCTATAGCCGCAATTTCGGGCCAGACACGGCAAATCGAATCAATTTCGTCTAGATGGGTTCGAATGGTGCATGAGTGGCTGAGATTCCAGTCGTAGCAAGAAATCTGACCACCGTGGGCTATCCAAATGGATCCATCGACCTCGGCGGCGGTGAAAGTGGGAGACAAGCCTTCAGACGCCGGTCGAATTGTTGCGGTGCTAGAGGCGTCGATCCCATCCAATGGTGACGGCGCCATGGCCGACCTGAGTTGGGCGTCGATGCCGTAGTAAATTGCTTCATCGGCGAGCTCTTGCTTGGAGAAACGACGAGCGGTGGAGGGGAGCTGCTTGGTTCGGAGGAGGGAGAGGAGGACGGAGAAGATCTCGGGGTCGCGGTCAATGAAAACAGGGTGGTTATCGCCGGTGTCACGGAGGGAGAGAGCGGTGAGTAGGGAATCCGAACCACCGGAACGAAGGGTGGCAAGCGTCGTCTCGAAGAGCTTCCCGCCGACGTTGAGCTTGATACGGTCGTCCGGAGAGGTCACATAACTGGAGGCAGTAGTTGCCACATCCATTGAGAGAGCACCACGAAGATAGTCCAAAGCTTTTGACCAGCTTGGAAATGGAAATCTGGGAAATAATGGTCTCTGAATTAACATCTCCGAATCGAAACGAAACGATGCGTTCCACTGGTTGGTTCACCAATTACGGTGGGACAACGTTGGACTTTTTCCGAAACGTTCCCAACGATGTAACAGAGTTGGAATCTTTGGCTTCGTCTCCTTCATCGTTTTCCCTCAGATCTGCTTTTCTCATCTGCCGTCTATTTTCAATCTCAGCTGCAAGAGTATATCATATATCATATAGAAGAATTTGTTACAGCAAATATGATTAAGTTACACAGAGAGAGCATCCTACTTCTGCTAATGAACCAAGTAAATTTTCCCGGCAGTCAATACAATTAGCACAATCTGTTTTAAACCCTTTCTTTTTCCTAGAATTTTAGAGTCTTCTCGCTATCCAGTCCTGCAAAAATGAATTTATGACGTAACCTGAGACTTAAGGCATGAAAGAGTAAATACTCATTTATTTATTTAGTTCATCGACATTTGTAGTTGTAAATCTATAAGCAGTGATATGAATAAGCTTCTCGTAACTGGAAAGTAGAGGAACGTTGATCAGCCCTTGCAAAATTACGAAGTTGGAGTAAGTTTCTGGTTCTTCATTTAAAGATGAAGATGAGGCTCTGAGCTGTGTCTAGCCTTACCTCTTGTGGTGTGGGTATGAGCTAATCCGAAACGGGCTGAGGTTTTCTTACTAATAACCTATAAATAATACAGAAAAATTCTCCACACACCATATTGTGGGAATTATATTCCTAGATGGTATAGTCAAAATTGTTCAAGATTAGAACAAGTTTTAAAATTCATCAAACTAAGAACAACATTTTCAATAAGTTTCTTGCACTTGAACTTTATCTTAAACAACTTGTTTACAATCTCTCACCTCACACATATCCCCTACAATGATTTTAATAATAATTGGATTGGATTATCATTTGAATAATGAATTATTAGTAATAATCAGATGGGTGTTAATTATTATATGATAATAATGGCAATGGTTAATACTCCATCTGGTCCTAAATATAATTTACACGATAAAATGGATCTTATATTTGGGGTCGAAGGAGTACTATATTAATAAAAAAAAGTTATTAATGAAAATAAGTAATGTTTAGGTTTTAAAAATTTAGTAACAAGTCATGATTAATTTGACATGAACAAACAATAAAAATTGATCTACCTTACAAATAATGACTCGTGGTACCACATCTTAAACTCCTTTGCATACATTGTAGTTGTTGTTGCATATTCACTTCTTATTAAGTTTGATCAAACATCTCATTTGTCTGCATAGTTAGCATATTTAAATTAATTCAAGGTTATTCAACTAAAGAAATTAATTGTCGGTAATGCTTCATTTGATAGGCCATCTTATTTAGAAATAAGTGTCATATTCATCTGTAAATAATGTAAAATTATCAAATAAGGACATAAATAACTAGAATTGAGGAGGATTGGGAGAGTCCTGGTGGTATAGTGTGAATGATCTTTATACCTTTCTCACTAAAATAAAAAACTAAGCAATCATTCAAATGCGCACAATATTTCTTGGAATCAATATATTAAATGGATTGAGTTAAAAACTAGAGACGTTATCTAACAAAGAGCTTATATACAAATAAGTATTGTAATTAAATATTATAATAAATCTGATCAATGAAATATATATACTAATATTCAGAAAATTTTAAATATAAAATTCAATCTATACAATGTTTACAAGGCAACATATAAATAATTATTAATTTTTTTATTCATGTGAGATATCACATAATGCGTATTAAGCTAATATGATAATTATTAATCTAATGAATTACTATACTATAAATTCTTAAGTTTTTTGACAGCGGAAGGGTCTAAATTGTGCTCCTCAACAAAGCTAATGACTTCTCTGGAGCTCTCTGCTGTAGGGAGGTAGTATGCGCTATCAAGCCAAATAACCTGAAATGTTTTAATGCAACAACATTTACAAGTGGAAGCACCAGAAAGTTAGAAAAAGTAATAGAATGAAAGCGATTATGCTGTGTGATATATATTATTAGTACCTTAAGAACACCCTCATGAGCCACTAATCTTCCTGCTGCTGCAGGCACAGCTCCAGCCAGGAAGCTGGAGTGATGAAACAAACACATCTGCCTTCGCCCCACATACAAAGACCTTGTGGAGCTCAGAACAAATATCCATATGGACCCACCTCTAGTATCGAGAACCTTCCCATTTTGTCTATACACCAGCTTGCCCCCTTCAACAATAACTTCATATTCTTCCCTTTCTTTCTGCATTGGTAGCACAATCAGTCAGCTAAATGAGCTATAGCAACAACAGTTTTCAAATAGACTCAGGCTAAATAAAAAGCGAATCTTCATAGCTAACTCTGTTGGATGTGAATCTATATCTAATTAAAATGGATGTTAAACATACATATATTAGTGACAACTTACCGGTCCAAGATATTTAACGCATTGGTGTTGAAGTTTGCTCCTTGGACATCTCTCAAGATTCACTTCTTTGCCTTCTCCTACATCCAACCTAAATGTAATAAAAGCAGGAAGTTAGCCATCCAAATCCTTATTAGTTCCTCATCTACCATGTTTCATGGTAATTACAGTGAAGACATTAAGGTTCAAAACGAGTATTTACCAGTAGAAAAATGGTTGGCTGCTTTGGCTTCTGTGCCAGACATTATAATAGAGCAATATATTGTGACCATATCGATCACATGGGTCAACCTGTGCAAGAAACAAAAAGAAAGTAACATTGTCAACACTTAATATGGATAAAATCTGTTGCTCAAAAGCTTCAAGATCACAGAGGGTACTCTTCTTGGCTAACGTATTGGAATAATGGGTAAGAACAGAGAAGGCTTCAAGGCCTTACAGCTTCAAGCCAATGTCGCCGGGCTAGTCTTTGCGCCTTGTCATTCTTGTACAAACCTTTGCCAACCTGAGTGAAAATTCAGTTAGAAGCTAGACCAAAAAAAACAAAGAAAATTAATAAAGAAATTATTAGTTAAACTCCACAACAATCCAGATTCTTTGTAATTATAAAGTAATTGGTGTGTATTCAGAGAGAGGTAAAGAAGAAAAGTTGCTTTTGTGCTTGCCCCTCCCCGCCGTGATAATTGGCTTTGCCCCGAAACTTCTCCCACCCCTGAGGAATCTTGCCACTGCAAAAATGAAAATACACAATGATGTAACACATGTTAGTTCAAGTAACAGGTTCAGTTGCTTGAATATTTTGCTGCAAAACTCTGTTAAGACCTCATTGCCATCTGAAGGACCAACATCAACGTGAAGATGGTCACTTGGACTGATGGGACCAACCTCCTGCACTACAGATTCTGAGTAGTGGCGAAGAATAACGATGAGGGAGCAGAAAACTAATGCAATAGGTAAGAGGATCCACTTGATTTTGAATAGTTGTGTGGCAAACAATGTCAGGAAAAAGGTGGAAAAGCCAGTTTCGAATCCGAGCTCAAACTTCCTTGACATGGACAGCGACATCAAGGCAAATGAACCATACGAGATAATGCTCAAAGCATCTGATTTTGCAGGAAGAAGTTTTTCATTCACCGCGGAGATCAAACAGATCACATCAAATATTAGAGCTGCCAGAGGGCCTTGGAATTTCTCTGAAACTCGAATTCTCTTGCCCCACAAGATGAGGCTCCATATGATTACCCCGACGAATAGATAAAGGAGGAGACCGCCAATACCAAGCTTTCCAAATGAGATTTTGTAGGTGGAGCTGAAACCAAAGCAAACCAAGCCGGCTATGCCTGACACACTTCCCACAAATTTCCAAATCATGGCCCGATGGCATACAAGATCTCTCATCCTGTTCATAATTTATTTAACAAAAAAATGATACCCTCATTATTTGATTTTTTAATTTTAATTTATAAATTTGATGAAATTTCAGTTATAGAAATAAACCAATACTATAACAGTGCTAAATAAGATGATAAAAATTTTATGAAGTCAATGAAATTCTATAAATTAAAATTAATAATATGAAAATGGTTTTTAACCCGAGGATTGATGCCTATATTAAATCAAAGGATTGAATTCAAACAAAATAAATTAAAAAGCTCGTATTCAAAGTTAAAGTAATTTAATCACTCGCATTTAAACACTCGTGCTTTAGCTCAGATAAGGCACCACAAAAGCTTGACAAAGACTCAAAAATGGGGAAGGGATCAAAAGTGTTTAATGCCTCAGGAATTTCAAAAGCAGAGTATAGCAGAGATTTTACTAAGATTTTTGTTACAGACCAAACAAATAAATCATCAAAAAGACCTACTACTAACCTTAATCAAACGCCCCCTCCCACGCCACGCTGCCCACTCCTAGAGAATCGTCTCGGCAACAAGAGGAGCGTGACTCGGAATAAGGGCCTCGGAATTGACGCGGAGAGAAACTGAGTAAGGAATGCTAAGGGAATCGACTTGTTGACTCTGGTGGCAGAAGCTCAGAAGTACAACCTTGAATTGGTCCTTGGCCCTTTGCTTTGTCAATAAAATATGTAAAATCACTATTATATTTATTATTCTGAGATATCATAAGCATACTTGCGATTGAAAGGAAAAACAAAACAAAACAAACCAAGCCAAGCCAAAAGGGCTCAACTACCCCTCTCGAAGGCCACAAGCAGACAATCCACTAATTTCTTCACATTGTCTTGTTCGTTGGCTTGTAATGATAGATTAGATAGCACGAATAATAAACATAATTACAGGTAGGCGCTTACGCGTGCCGATCCTGAAGAAAGAGAACCAATGGAACCCCCCAACAAAAAAAAAAAGGAAAAAAGAAAAAAAAAAAAGAATAATAGAAGAGTATCGTTTCAGTTTAGGCCTTTTTGTGTTTGTTTCCTGTGGTAGTTAATGGATCATTAAGGTTTGGCCCAAAGCGTACCAGCAAAGAGAAAAACAATCCAGCAAGCAATGGATAGAGAATATACCATGGAAAATTGAGAATAAATCATTCATTAGAAATTTAATTGGTAAACAGTCTCGACGGTGATGGATTGTATAAAAGAAGATAAGTTGCATGCAAGAGAAACTAAGTTATAAAAAGAGGAGACGATTTGTACAAAATATTATTTAGATATAAAAGAACCAAGTTATATACAAGAAATATGACTTATACACCAAAAAAGGTTATGCGGCACAAAAAGAAATTGAGTTGCATAATAAATAATGATTGGACGGAAAAGAAGGCGGATTATACATTTTAAAAAAAATTAAGTTGCACATAATGAAAATTGAGTTGTACAAAGTTCATAAAGACCATTTGCCAATTAATTTCTCAATGAAAGATTTGTCCTCAATTTTCCAAATATACAATTGGCGTTAATTTATATCACAAGAACAAAATAAAAGCACAATCATATAGATTATTGATTACTTTATCACTAATATGAGTATGTTTATTGGCTTATTGCAATATGCATTTACACACGTGCATATTCTAAACATTGAGAAACTCAATCGGGAACCCACTAAATTCATATTCATTATACAAAAGACTATCCAATCTTCCACCTGCTTACGTACTTCTCTTGTCCCTATCTGCTATGACTTAACTTCAAGCTTTCGAGTCTTCTTATTCTTCTCCTTGTCCTTTTTTAATGCAATCCTCCCATCTGTTCCAGCTAGCATGGCCTACTTATCTTTCCTCGTCAAATTCGTCCACTGCCGTCCACCTCCTCCTATTACTCTAACTAGTTCAGTGGCCGTGCATTGCACAGGGTATATCAGGACAAATAAAAAGTTTACAACTGATACTTTTTATCTTCTCTCTTTTTTTTTACATGCAATAGTTGTTGAAAAAAAAACCTAATAGATAGAAGGATGATAATTCAAATAGAAAATCAGTACAAGTCCTTGATTTGATAATATTTAAATATATTTTCAGTTGGATCCACACAAAACTAAATAGTTAGTTATAACTCGGCCTTTAGTCTTAAGACGTTGAGAAAGACATGGAACTATGATCAAGCAGCAGATCACATTGGTAATGACATAAGTATGAAGTTATTTTCTAAACTCAAGAGCACCCATTTGACCGCAACCTGAGACCAAAAGCAAGCACCGTGACCAGATTAGGAGCATAGAAGCCAGTAAATGGTTTTGATTTACCAAACAAATCTAACTCTTATCTAGCAAACCCCTTAGCAAAAATTCAATAAATGTTTTTTTAGACTTCATTCTCACAATACAGGCTGATGGCATAGACCAGACTATTTATTTCTTGGGAAAAACACATACTATTTTTTTTTTGACCGTATTGAGGCCATTCAAAGACAAGCATTTATTTTCTTCTACCATTATATCCATAGCGACTTAAAATTTAATTCTCAACCATTAAAAATCCAATTGTTATGAGTTGAAATACACTATTCACAAGACAAACCTAACCTGCCCAATATGACTAGTTTCGTTTTAGTACTCAGGAGCCATGTAATAAGGGTTTCTGACTATCTCATTAAATCTTTCACTTATGGAAAATGACAAGCATTAGTAAATAAATCTTGGACAGAGGTAACTGATTGATAAAAGATAGATATCTTATAGTTATAAAATGATTTAATTGGGGGGACGAACAACAACTTTTTATAAAGTATTAATTTTAATTTTAAAATATTAAGAGCCTTTTTTTTGAGATTATTGAATTTAATTTCGGACCAGAAATATTTCTTAATTGGAATAAAAAAACTGCCCATAACAAATCCATAAAATCCAGAACAACGTATTATAGTGATACAAATTCACACATCAGCCTGTAACCAACTCTTGCTTTGTAACCAACCAACAAATAAACGTGAGTAGATCATGTTTTAAATTTTAAATTTTATAAGTATCATTTTTTCTGTGAAAAATTTACAAAAAAAGAAAGAAAGAAAAGAAAAGTGCATGAATAGGAGAACATGAGTAGAAATAAAAATTTAAAATTGAAGACCATTTATGTACACATTGGTGAAACCACGTGTCGGGCTGCCAACAACTCTTACTTTGTACTCTATTTTCATATATTAATAGATTAATAGATAGATTAATAATAAACGGTTGTTGAAAACGTGAGTAAAAACATGGGTAAAAAGGTGTGGCCTTTTTTTTAAAAAAAAAAAAGAAAAGGACTTTTATCTGATCTTTGGTATGCCTTCAAATGATACACAACCATAGGTGAAGATGCCCATGCTCTACAGTTGTGCGTTACTAGTATTTTTGGTCTATTAATAATTAATAAAAAATATAATTATATGAAAAAATTACCCCACGTTTCCAGATTTTGTGAATATACTTTTTCCTATAATTTATCATTTTATAAATCAATTTAATAATTAAGTGGCCAATTTGAATTTTAAGTGGCGTAACCGTGATAATATATGTTAATTTGAATATTTGTTCACATCTTAGAAAAAATGTTTAAACTAAACTAACTATCCGATAAATATATAATTAAAAATTACCACATGTTTCCATATTTTGTGAATATACTTCTTCCTATAATTTATTCATTTATAAATCAATTTAATTATTAAGTGGTCACTTTAAATTTTAAGTGGCATAACTGTGCTTTACATTCCAAATATAAACTTTCAAATTGTTTGTAGATACTATAAAATAATTTGAATAATCGTTCATATCCTAGAAAAAATCATGACATATTGATCAGAAAATTCTCTCCAATAATAAACAGTTGGTGAAAATGTCGGTAGAAACATGGGCAAAAAATGTGGCCCTTTTTTTTTTAAAAAAAGAAAAGAACATTTATCTAATATTTGGTGATGTCACGCGTCACGCTGCCAGGTACTCATACCTTGTACTCTACTTTTATATATTAATAGATTAGTCATTCCAATTAGCCCATTTTCCTCCTACTCAATTACTCCCACCAACAACTCATGCACAAAACGTAGAGATTCTTGTAAAACATATCTTATGCCTAAAAAACTCTTCAACTTTTAAATTAATTAATAATAATGACATAATAACTTCACCAAATTCACTTGCTTTTGTTTTGGCTGGTTTGTGTTGAATGCTGCTGTTTTATGGTATTTGCCTGTTGTTGATTGTATTCTTCGATTTTGGGATATCCATAAAAATTTGATTTTTTTGGGGCAAAATATATGGTGTGGCTAATTTTTACAGTGAATTATCAT